GAGATAAGTTAGGTAGCATTTACATATGAGATAAAATAAGATTATATGAATAAGTAGCATAAATGACATAAGGAAAACTTATGTGTTATATGATTTAAGCATTGAAATGAACAAAAGATATATTTAGTTGAAGTTATTCGGTGATATGAGTATATGACATTACTATAAGGTTTAGATGAAATACTATACATGAATAAATGTGATTGTGGGAGAAATGATAGAAATTATATGAGAACATGTATATGTGAATTAGCTTGATAATTAGGTAAATATATATGAAATCATAACTATGAACTATGCGATGTGAAAGTAATCTATATGATTATATGTTATATGAATACAAGAACATGAGATATATGACTATGTGATTATATAAAAATGTGATAATGACCTATGTGCAAAAACTACGAGACTACGTGCCTAGGTAATATGAATATGTGAACATGTGAAATGACATAAATGATAATGCCCATGTTATGTGTTATGAGAGCTAGAGGTATAGTTGGCATGCCAAGAGTCGAGGGTCTACGCAGTCCTTCGGGACATATATGTATCATTTGGAACATCTATGAGGTCTTTTAAGACACATACTTGGTCCTTGGAATATGTATATGGTTCTAAAGGAATTTTCTACGTGGTCCTTAGGGACGTCTTATATGGCACTTCGGTGCATTTCTACGTGGCACTTCGGTGCAATTCTACGTGGCACTTCAGTGCATTTATATGAGCTGTGGTGACAGCATTAGTGCACAACCTCTATAGAGTCACATATCTATAGTTCTCACATGTGTACATGGGCTAATAAAGAAGATGATATAAAAGAACCTTGTATGATATTATGTGCTTTGTTTGTAATCTTTATGATGGGAAATGATATATGCGATATGATGTTGATGTGTATATAGCTTGGTTAAGAAGAATAGGTACAAGGACATCTGACTAAAAGATAAAGAATGAAAATAAGAATATGTGTGTATTACATACGCTTTATATATATATATATATATGCGTTTATGTTTGGAAGCATTTCATGGTTTATCATGATTACATGAAATGTGTATAATAGGAATTAGTTATGATATACTATAATCAATTTATTTATGCCTCACTAAGTCATCAACTTAGCGTGTGAATGTTTCACACATAGGTTCCAGAAAGCTAGAAGGAAGGTTAAGAGGAGCAAGACAGGTCAACATCTCCTTTACAAAAATTTCAGATCAGAAAATAGAGGATTTAAATGACTTTGGTTATTTTAAATATAGTTGGCATGTACTAATTGGTTGAGTTAAATATGCTCTGATTGATTTTGGTTATTGTAGTCAATTTATGTAACTAAACTGTTTTTACTTTAATGAAAGTTTTAAATTTTCTTTGAATTTTGTCAAGAGTCAAAGTTTGAAAAATCAGTGTGATACCTCAGACTCGTATCCGAGTCGGGTACGGGTTGGGGGCATTACATGAAGTGTCTTGTTTTAGGCACAAAATTTTATCTAAGTCCCACCCATTCACTTTCCTAAGACAATCAAATGTTATCAAAGTCTTACTTAGGGTCTTAGAGGTCAAAAGGAGTCATCTTCATGCTTATAAACATCAAACGTAAAATATACCATGGATTAAACTAGCATCATTCATGAACTTAACTAGCCAATTCATGCACATATAACAGTCTACATGTGGTATGGACAAGTTAGAATCGTGTTACCTTGATCCTTAGCTGCTGAAAACGTCTTTAACTTAACAAGGATCAAATTCTCTTTGCCTCCAACTTTGGAATTCTCTTCCTTCTCATGCACTAATCAAAACAAGGAAAATGAGTTACCAACTCATTTTGGAACTTAGGATGGTGTTAGAAATAATCCTACAACTCATAAATATCCTAAAAAATGGATTAAAATGCTAAGGTTCCATAAACCCCACTAAAACCCACCTTAGAAAAACTAAGCCAAATCTTATAAACATGGGCTTGAATGGAAGCTTGGGGAATGTATATTATAGTTCTTACCTTGGAATTCTCAAGGGATGCTTGGAATTCTTAAAGCTTTAATCTTTGTGTGGCTCTTGAAGAAGAAAAAATAAGATGAAGGATGGAGAGGAAGAGACAACAAAGGGATGAAAAAAGAGGGGGAGCTTGCTAGACGTGATATCATCCCAATTTAATGGGATTTAACTTTGATTCAAAAAAATGGGTTAATTTCTCATTTGGTCCTTCCCCTTTCATGGTAAGTTTAAAAACACATATTTTTCATAGTTTATTAGGCTTGACACCAAGGCCAAACACGAAAATTCTTGGACCAAGGTTTCCTTGCAACTAATGGACTTATTTAAAACCTCTCTCGGGTTAGCTTGGAACTCATAACCTGGGATTCAGGGCGTTACAACTTTCTCCTCCTAAGAAGAAATTTCATCATCAAAATTTACCTGAATAGAAGAGATGAGGATACTAAAGTTGCATATCATTCTCAGGTTCCCAGTTGCATCCTCTACGCCATGGTTCCTCCACAGGACTTTCACCAAAGGTATTCTTTTGCTCCTCAATTCTTTGATGCTTCTATCAAGGATTCTGATTGGTTCTTCATCGTAAGTCAAGTCCTGCCTTACTTCAACTTGCTCAAGAGGTATGACGTGGGATGAATTATATAGGTATCTTTGAAGCATGGAAAGGTGGAACACATTGAGGATGTGCTCTAGCTCTATATATAACGCTAATCGATAGGCCACTGGCCCAACCCTCTCTAACACTTCATATGGTCTAATGAATCGTGGGGTCAACTTACATTTGCGTCCAAACCGAAGTATTTTTTTTCGTAGAGAAACCTTAAGGAATACTTTGTCTCCTATCGGGAACTCTATATCTTTGCGCTTCAGGTCGGCATACGACCTCTATCTGTTAGAAGCCTCTTTTAGTCGGCTCTGAATCAACTGAAATTTTTATTTGGTTTCCCGGATCAAGTTGGGGCTTATGATCTTACCCTCACTGAGTTCGGTCCAACACAATGAAGTTCTACACTTGTGCCCAGACAAGGCTTCATAGAGGGGCATCTGGATGATTGTTTAATAACTGTTGTTGTATGGGAACTCCACCAAAGGCAAATGATCTTTCCAACTGTCCTGAAGATCTATAATTGTCAAAGGGCCATCTAGATGGTGATCCGTGCCTTTTTACCATGTTGTCAAAGGGTGTTAGATCGGTAAATTTAGGACGATCGGTGTTTGACAGGTAATTATTTAATGGTCAGATATTTTTGGGTAAAAACGCCCTTGCTTCCTTTTGTGTTTTAAAGGTTTTTATGGGTTGGTGTAGCATTTACGGAGGGATTTGATCTTGTTTGATATGTTTAATGAATTTGGTGGATTGGGGGAAGGATAGAGCAAATCCAAACCTCCATAGTTAAAATATGAAAATGTTGAAAGATTTTGTTTTAAAGCTCTAAATTTGATAAAATAATTATTTTGCCCTTCTATTTTTTTTTGAAGTACTTCAATTTTTAATGTTTCATTTTAGGTTAAAATAAAAAATTCCTATTTTAAAGCGTTAATTATATATTAACTAATAGTTTTTATCTATAAAATAAAATTTTATCCCAAAATAAAATATTAGAGATTAAAATGCTTAAGAAAAAAAATAAATGACAAAATGACTATTTTAGTGATCGTTGAGATTATTTTTGGCATTATGTCATTTAGATATTATAATTTGTATAAAAATATTATATAAATATAAAAATGGTTTAAATATGATTATTGTGAAAAATAATATAAACATATATAATAAGAATATACGATTTGTAAGGTTTATATAGAATGCTTTTGCTGATAGTTATTCTCTTGGTGACCTTAATGGTCCACCCACTAACTATAATGTGTGTTGAGAAATATTGGACCACCCTTTTGGTTTCACAGTGTCATGCAAACTCTTCAATTGCAACCAAAAAAATGGAGAAATCATTAAGCTTGCAAGAAAAGAAAAACAAATCAATGGCTGGAATCAAGTTTCTTGGAGAAGTGGAGGGTTGTAAATGATTCAAATGAAAATTTTGAAGAAGTTGCATTAAGAGGCGAGAAGAGAAATGATTATATATGCGCTTTGGGCTCGAAATTGGCAACTTGGCGTACTTGTTTATATATATATGGTTTTATAAAAAAATTCATCAACTGAACTTGATGATAAAGTGTTATTTTCTTTTAAGGTAGTAATTGCATCTGTAGAATGTATGTACGTGTTAATATGTATTGATAACGTACACACATCTTACATATATAATTGTTTAAACATGAGATCTCTAAAAAATATTATTTTATTATTGATATCGTTGGATGGATCGTACATTATAAGTTGAATCATCAAAAAAAGTAATCAATGGTTAATTATAATATTATTCTTTATATAAATTTTGAGTTCAAGTAATTACGTTTGTAGGTGTGTATATGTTTGTTGTCAATTAGATATTCTAACTTGTAAATCACATGTTTGATTTGGATTATTATCTAATAGTTTATAAGTAAATACTTAAACAAAATATAATTGAGAAAAAAGTATAAACAGTTGGTTTTTATTTAAAATAATATTTTTATAAAACTTCATGTCAAAATCAAAACTTTACAATGCTTATAAAATATTACTTTTAAATTTGAATGTTAGTTCCCAAGTACTAAACTGAACACTAATCAATTCATGGGAATAATTTTAGGTTTAAATAATTTTTTTGTATTATATTAGATATTAAACCCAATACACAAAAACTTATTTAAAATATTTTAATAATTAGTAGTTTAAAATTATTTACATTTTAAAATTTTAAGATATATTTTTTAAAAAACAACTTATTTCTACTTAACTTAAAAATACAGTAGAAAACAATTGTTTTTTAAATAAAGTAATTTTCCGCGAAACATAAATGTTTCCTCAACCTCTTTGTCTGTAAAGGTATTTTTATTTAATTTTATCTCATTATATGCTTTTTGCTGGAATCAATCGTCGAGAAAAGCAAGATCCTACTTTCACTTGCCGAACTGTTAGACAAAACGAGAGTGAAATCAGGGCACAAGAAAAGTGCCCAGTTTTTTAAGGGCTTCAGAATTCTGCTCTTTTTTTTTTCAAAGTTGTAACCTTTATCCAGCTTTACCAACGTAATTCCTTGTTTTCCTCTTGATTTTAGCTTCTGGGTGTTACTTGAACTTCCAAATTAAGTTCTGGCTACGTTGAAAATCTCTAATTTATCACTGTTTTAGTTCTGGGGTTATTGATTTTTTTATGTCAACTGGACGACTGTAAATTATATAACAAAGACTGTTTTTCTTGCTTTGAGATTGATTTCAGTTTTCGATTTTTGAAGTGTTTATTATTGAATTTACTGTCAGACTTTGCTTATCCTTTTGTTTGGAACCAGAAAGGTTATTACTGGTTAGTTATGAAATATGTTGGAAAGTAAGTTTAGATGCAAGAACGTAGGGTTTTTTTTTATGTGCTTGATCTCTTTTGTGTCAAGCTGACCATGTTTCACTACCCTGAATTGTTGAAAGGTTGAATATTATTTATGGTTTGAGTTCACAGGTTCTCCATGCTTATTTAACCATCCCAATAAAAATGTAGGCACTAGGCAATGAAAAGAAGGTTTAATTTTGAATTTTGTGTACTTTTTTGTTTGAAATTCAACAAAATGTAAAACTTTGAAGTTGAAGCAATTCATGCAATTACATTATGTTTGGAAGGAGGGAGAGTAGATAAGGGTAGAGTGGAAAAGAGTGAAAGGACCACTCTATCATGTTTGGGAGCTTTTCTTATTGTTATTTAAATGGAGAGAAATCCCCTCAAAACCTCACATTTTGATGTTTCCTCTAATCAGAATATGTCGGTTACCATACGTAGACGCCATACTTTGTTTTTTTTTTTGATAGAAGTTGGAGGTCTCATTAAAAACTCCCTTCGTATTCTTCCACATACTTAGAAGTATGTTGAAGAACAAGGAAGGGAGAAAAGAGTGCCTCATATTTTATTAAATATAATATTAAGTACATGAGGTAACACCAAACCCACATGCGGGAATAAACAACAATACAACCCATATCACCTAGAAATCTTACATCGTCAACCAAAAAGCCCCTAAATCACCTCAAGATGTAAGATAACATAACAAAAAAACCAACAATTACAACCACAAACTTAAAAACGCCTCTGAATACAGCAGCCGAACAATCACAACCCAATTGGAGGATCAAGTTCTAAAGAAATATCGCAATCTTCAGGAACCCAAGAATTAGGTTTGAAGGAAGGATCAACTTCATGCACCAAGATTTTGAATAAATGATCCCCGACCTTCAACTCCAACAACTCATTAATTCTCACTTGAGCATTTGTGAGTATTTGGATTTTAGCCCGATCAAAAGACGAAGGGAACTCACAACTGTTATCGATTGCTATTAACTTGCCCCACTTAGTAGCTATGTTTTTGAAAGTATCCCAATTCCAAGCGTGAAAAGGAATACCTTCGCAAACTAGCCAAACGCGCCGGCTCTCCACCACAAGGCTCTCAGACCAAGTTTCCACTCTGGAAAACCATTCTGCAAGAGTTTCTAACTTTTCATCCTTCACGCATCTCAACGAATTAGAATCTTCAAAAACCATTAGAACTACGTTTCCAGCAGCTCTCATAAGCGTGAAACCCGCTAGTCCTTTGGCTTGTATTTGGTTAGCAAGATTACCAATCTTGATAAAGTTCTTGCACCACCCCACAAGACAGTTAGACAACACATGAAGTTTATCTGCGTCCACAACACCCTCAACTTCACAGTGTTTAATCGTCGGAAAAACTTCCAGCCCCGACTTACTATGAACAACTTTCGAGGACTTTCGCCAGTAAGACTGCCGGGGTTTATGTTTAGCCAAAGAGACTCTAATTTTGTTGCCGTAAATATGATAACCATTCATCTTAGAAATCGATGTCCTTGCTTCTTCAATTGTAGCAAAGCGAATAAACCCAAACGAACCCCATTCGAGTTTCTTTTTTTGGGAATGAAGGCATCAATAACTTGACCATGTGAGCCAAATATGGATCCAAGTTTCTTCCAATGGATCTTCTCTGGAAGGTTTTCGATAAAAATCGTGTAACAATCCTTTCTGGACCCAGTACGAAAATCTGGTTGGCCTTCTTTCGATCGATTATAAAACCCATTTCTTCTTCTTCCCACCACTTCGGAAAATTTTGCATCGGAATACCCTTTCGAATAGATCTCCTTGGCACCACCATGATCAACATTAGCGACTGGAAGCGTTGGTGTTGCGTGAACAAAAGACAGCTTTCCGTTGCTATGTTTCGCTTCTTGTGAGCATTTCTTCAAAGGACTGGATGATAGTGGACTTTCACCCGACCTCGCCGAAAATGATCCCGAATTTTGTTGATTTTGGGTTGAAGGAGAGTGTCTGTAAGTGGTGCCGTCGGACTCAACTATCCAACCCGCCTCACGTGCCAAGGCTGCCAAAACATCGTTCTTAGCAGCATTCGGTGGAATAGAGAAGTTACCAAACTGTCTCAATCCGGCCAACAAGCGTCTGGTAAAAACTCTTCTTTGCGGTTTCCGTAACCTTGTCCTCTCCTTTTCATTCTCAATTTTACGATTGTCCTTACCGGAGTAAGATGAAGAGGCTGCACCAGCGGATCCAGATTTCTTGAGAAGACTGCCTCGTGGAACTGCATTTTCCTTCATTTTTAAATCATTAACCCGCTTATTCAACTCTGCCACTAATGCTTTAAGAGCCTTCACTTTCGCTTCTAATTCCTTGGCAGACTCCAGGGGGAAATCACCAGCTGCAACACGGCAGTCTGGTTCAAGCGGGAGATGAGAACTCCTAGTCGATGAAGGAGGAACAATAGGAGGCCTCACAGAGGAAGCAGCCACCGCACCAGCTGAGTCAAACCCTCGAAGTTGGCTGGGTTGAGACGTGGGTTGGGGTTCCATGGTGAATACTCAGCTGTACACCACTGCTCGACACAAGAGAAGACGGGATTAGGTCACGTTTAGGCACTGCGCTGGGTTGAGTGGCGGAGGCGAACTCGGACGGCTGGAGGCTTCGAAAATCTGCAGAGGACGAGTGTAGATCTGCGACTAAAGACAGCGTATTTCGCAAATGCAAGTCCAGATCTGTATTCACCGTGAGCAGACGACCATCCTAGGAAAAAGCGGCGTCAAACGGTGGTCAGAGTGTGGCGGCGGACGGCTGACGGCGGCGGCAGACGGCGGGCGGCGGCAGCGGCCAGCGGGCAACAGACGAATGAGACAACACTTTTAAATTTAAAAACACCTGGGCCCTAGAGAGAAGCGGTAACTTCTCTCACTACACTTTTTGTTTTGACGCCATACTTTGTTGTACTCAATTCTGTGCACAAGAGTAGCTTCCCCTACTCTGTGCTTTACTTTTCCTCCATTTTACTTTTCTCTTTTCTGCTTTCGAACATCCAGATTCGTTATAAGTGTTCTTTTGATTTATGGATGATGACTGAAATATCATAGTTTCTTTTAGTTAAAGGGGAAATCTGAATTTTTGTTTTCCTTTGATCAGTTGGATGCTGAGTAGTAAGATACTTTTTTCTCAAACATGTGGTGTCTTATGTTGACAGGAAACATAGTTCTTTAAGATGGGTGAAATTGTCATTGCTAATGTTGCTACCAGGTGGTGGATTAGGGATGAATCCTTCCACGGATGATATGAATTTGATTCAAGCACAAAGGCATTTGGTTAGGGACATTGGTGATGATATTGATTTGGAAATTGGACCTGGAGATGATGACCCTTCATTTGCCAACACTCCTCTCCTTGGTGGCCCATCATCACAAGAGCCCTCTGTGGAAGAGCAAGATGAAAGTAAGCAGGTGACAATGGTCTCTCAACTCCCAAATTCTGATTAAGAGGCACAACCTGCGAAAAGGAAGAAGAAGGTTGTAAAAAGATGGAGAGAGGAATGAGCTGATACATACAAGTGGGCATATGTTGACATGAAGGAAGGAACAACAAGGATATTCTGCTCTGTTTGTAAAGAATGTGGTAGAAAGCATAGAAGGAATCCGTATGGCAATGAAGGAACATGCAGATGAGTGCATTGGAAGAGCATAATAATAGTTTGCTTCACAAGGAGGCTCTTTGTCTCCAAATAGGCTCAAAGGGTAAGATCGTTGTTGATAAACGCATTTATGTAAAAGGTTAGTCAGCACAATCAGTCATATACAATCTTTGCATTAGATTGATGCCAACCATGCTAGTCATATACCATTATATTTTGCTGTTTTGGCTTCCACTCATGCAGAAGCCTTAAACTATTTTAATCTTGTTGTACCAAAGCTTTAATTATTATTATTGGCACCAAGTCAAGTTACAAGTTGAGGAAGGGGGATTACATCAATTGGTTTGAACCCTTGTCATACGGCATGCCAATGAGAGTTCTTAATCACTGTTTTTATTATTATTATTATTTTAATTGCAAGGTGGTGTTGCTATATGTAATATAGGGTCATTTGTTTAATTCGGATTAATGCAATTAACCATTGAATGAGCCTGCTGTAGTATGTAATCTGGAAGACAGCTTTCAAATGACCTTCATTAGAATACAAATTCTAGAGTTGTTTAAGTTCTAAAATAAAAAGTATTAATGGGAGTTCAATAAAAAAAATCAGTATTTTCTCTGTTTGTGCCGGACCGAAACTCTTATTACAGAAGAATGGTTTCTGTCATTACAGATTAAAAAGCTTTTTCTGACACAGAACAGCGTTTTTTGTTTGCTTAATATTATATCATTAGGCTGTTAAAGGGCTGGACAATTCTTTAATTCTCTCCCCTTCTTAATATTTTGTTAAAAGAGTAACTGCAGCATAAAGTGTAGAAAGTTATGATTTAGGAATAGAGATGACAGTGATACTCTAAATTATTGATTCATTAGAAGAGGAACACAAGCCTCCTTTAAATAGGCTGAGTAGAAGAGTTTAAATATAACTACAATTACTCCTAGATAATATTCTATCCTATTTAGAAAATAAAAAGATAGAGTTATAGTTAATCTAAACTACTAAATTAAATAAGATAGAGTTATAGGTAATCTAAACAACTAAATTAAATAATTTACTACAAAACCTCCAATATTCTACACTCCCCCTCAAGCTGAGTATATGTTGAATATTCCCAGCTTGGATGAAAAATCATATAGAACTGGTCTTGGAAGAGCTATAGTAAGGATATCGACCAATTGATGCTTTGTAGGAACGTAGTTGAGTTGAACTACTCCACTGCTGACTTTTTCCGAGATAAAATGCCTATCTATCTCCACATGTTTAGTGGGATCATGTTGGACATGATTCTTTGCAATACTAATAGCAGGTTGACTACTAGTTTGCAAATTGAACTGCTTACAACCTTCTAATTTTAGTTCAGACAACATTCTTTGTAACCACACGCCTTCACAAATTTCTAGTGCAAGAGCTCGATATTCAGCTTCTGCACTACTCCTTGAAACCACAACCTGCTTCTTACTTCTCCAAGTAACTAGATTTCTCTATACAAATGCACAATACCCACTCATTGATCCTCGGTCAGTAAGTTCACTTGCCCAGTTCGAGTCGGTGAAAACTTTAACTGACCTTTCTTCACTTTTCTTAAATTACAAGCCATGTCCTAGAATTATCTTCAAATATTGTAAAATCTTGTGTACTGCATCAAGGTGTTCTTCTTTAAGGTTATTCATGTGCTGACTAACAACACTAACCGAGAAAGCAATGTCAGGCCGTGTTAGAGATAAATAAATTAGCTTACCCACCAAACGACGATACATCTCTTTGCTCACTGGAACTCTTTTCTTTATCTTTTATGAACTTCAAGCTAGACTCCATTGGTGTCTCGGCTGGTTTACATCCAAGCATACCAGTTTCTGTCAAAAGATCAAGGATGTATTTCCTTTGACATATAACTATTCATACCTTGGATCTTACAACTTCCATTCCTAAAAAATACCTAAGATTGCAAATGTCTTTGGTTTCAAACTCCTTGACTAGAGAAATTTTTAGCCTCTTTATTTCCTCAACATCATCTCCGGTGACTATTATGTCATCCACATACGCAACCAGAATAGTTATTTTTCCATTTTCATTTACTTTAATGGATAAAGTGTGGTCGGTTTGACATTTCTTGTAACCATTTCCAATTATCACTTTGAAAAACCTGTCGAACCAAGCCCTTGGAGATTGCTTTAAACCATACAACGATTTCTGCAACTTGCACACTTTGTGAATTGTCGAGTCTTTCTTCATACTGGGAGGAATTTCCATGTACACTTCTTCACATAAGTTTCCATTCAAGAAAGCATTCTTTATGTCTGATTGATAAAGTGGCCAATCCAAATTCACAGCTAAAGATAATAAGACCCTCACTGTGTTTAGCTTCGCAACGGAGCAAAGGTCTCTTCGTAATCTATACCATAAGACTGTGTGAACCCCTTTGCCATCAACCTTACTTTAAATCTCTCAATGCTGCCATCTGAATTGTATATGACGGTGAAAACCCATTTGCATCCCATTGGTTTCTTTCGTTGAGGTAAATCTGTTAAAGTCCAAGTTCCATTCTTTTCAAGGGATCTCATCTCTTCTTCCACTGCTTTCCTTCATCTAGGATCACCTAGAACCTCTTCTATTGTCTTTGGAACTGGTGTACTATCAACACTTGTTGTGAAAGCCTTGAAAGCAGGCGTCAAATGGTTATAAGCAACATGCTTTTGTATGGGATGAGCAATACTATCAACACTTGTTGTGAAAGCCTTGAAAGTAGGCTTCAAATGGTTATAAGCAACATACTTTTGTATGGGATGAGAAGTACACTTCGTTACACCTTTCCTTTGAGCAATCGGCAAATCATCAGTAATAAAAAGAGGAACAAGATTTTCACTAGGAGAAGATGTCACACCTTCGAAATTTTCCATGGTAATTGGATTCAAGTCCAACTCTCGGCAGCTTCTAGATTGTAGAGTGGACTTCTCTCTCCTTTTGTAGACATTAAGGTCCCTTCTTTGAGGTGTTTCAGAATGCAAGGTATTGGTTTTTTGTGGAGTCATAGAAAGAATTTGTGTTTGAATAGGATAAGGATTTGGAGAAGGTTGTATAAGTGGAGGAGGAGGTTCAAAAGATAATATTGGTTAAGATGTAGGATTTAAAGGAGGTTCAATAGCTAATATCGGTTGAGATGTAAGATTAGAAGGCAAATCTGTCAAATGTTGAAGGCTGTCAAAAAACTGTACCTGAAATTCATCCGAATCTCCCCTTGAATTTCATATTTCAAGAAATAGGGTTTAGTTGTCAGAAAAGTAACATCCATACTGACATAGGTCTTTTTTGTAACAGGAGAATAGCATTTGTAACCTTTCTTAGTAGATGCATAGCCGAGAAAGATGCATTTTAGTGATCGTGGATCCAATTTAGATCTATAATTCAAATAAATATGAACGAAAGAAGTACAACCAAAAATCTTAAGAGAAAGATCACATGACAAAGGTTTGAACCAGGGAAATTTAACAAGAAGAACATCCCTTGGAGGTTCGAAAGTTAAAAACACGACTAAGAATGGCTGTCAAAAGAGACCTCATTACTTCCAAAAGATGTCTATTTTTACGTTCGACAATCCCATTCTGTTAAGGACTATTAACACATGAACTGATGTGAACAATACCCTTCTCTTTCAAGTAAGGCTCGAGAACGTTAGAGAAATATTCACTTCCATTATCGGTTTTAAGAATATGAATCTTACTTTGAAATTGATTTTCGACCATGTTGGAAAAAGCTTTAAAGAGTGCATCGGCTTCTAATTTTTCCTTCATGAGAAAAAGTCCAACTTGTTCTATTGTGATCATCTATAAACGTTATAGACAATCTGGATCCATTAACATTCTTTTACCGGAGAAGGACCCCATATATCACTATAGATGATGGAAAATGGGTGAGAAGATTTATAGATGGAGGGAGGATATGTTGTTCTGTGATGTTTGACAAATTGGCAAGTGTTACAATGGAAAAGCTTAGCCTTTTTAGTGATGAATAAAGTTAGGTATAATTTGGCAAGATAAAAGAAACTTGGATGTCCTAATTTATAATGTAATAATATAATCTCACTTGATATAATGTCGGAAGAGGGAATAGGTTGCGAAATGCAGCCGGAATAGGCTTGTCTTGTGGAGAAGGCGAACCTTGGAGAATGTCAAGTCCACCAGACAACCTAGCGTTGCCAATTGTTGTCCCAGAACCCAATACCTGAAACACACATCCATTGAGATCAAACTTTTAACAACATCCCAAGTCACGAGATAATTTATTAATAGATAACAAATTGCAAGCTAATTGTGGAACATAAAGCACATATTTTAAAACAATATCCTTATTGACCTGAATTGTTCCACTCCCTTCAATAGCTACCAAGGAACCATCAGCTGTTGTGATATTAGACTTAATTTGAAGAGTACGAAATTCTGTAAATAAATGCAGATCTCTTGTCATGTGATCAAAGGTTCCATTGTCGACAATCCAACGAGTAAAATCATTATCAACGACATTAACACCCGAAAGACGACTGTCATGTGTAGTAAAAATCTTTTGTGTACAAGGAGGAAAATCATTTATGGATATGTGTGATAGACCAACACCTAAAGTGATTTCAGAGATTTCATCGCTGGCCATCGAATCAATGATGAAAAAAATTGAAAACTAAATACGGAAAAACTTGTTCAGAATAAATCGTTTTTATTTCTGCTGAATATGACTGACTTAAATAGAGTTTACAATGTAACAACTTTACATAAGAAGATGCATAAAATTAGCAACAGAATAAAAATGATTCTATCTAATTAAAAATGATCCTATCTAATAACTAATAGAATAAAAAACTGATTCTATCTAATTAAAAATGATTCTATCTAAAAACTAATAGAATAAAAACTGATTCTATCTAATATTTAATTTAGATATTCTCAACACCCCCCTCAAGCTGGAGAATAGATATCGATCATTCCCAGCTTGGACAGAAATCCTTCGAACATCGTAGTAAACAGTCCCTTGGTGAGAACATCGGTGAGCTGCTCTGATGATGGAACAAACGGTATACAGATATCGCCATTTTCCAGCCTCTCCTTGATGAAATGTCGATCTATTTCGACATGTTTGGTCCTGTCATGCTG